TAACATGATTGCATGTTGTCTTTTTTTTTTTTTCCCTCCTCCCCTTGCTCCAATTCTTAAGTCCAAGGAATTAAAAAAAGACAATGTTGTGCTGCAGTCCACAGCCCCGTACTGGCCCCACTGCAAAGATGGTTAAGTTAAGAACTTAATGTAGTAAAATAACCTTTAACTGTTAAAAACATCATTGCTTGCCAGGTAGAAAGACTTTGGGTGTTTATTATTTTGAGGATCAAAACATGGATACATTGGAGCGAAGTTACTGGGCAGACTGGTTCACAGAGCAGAAGAAAACCTGGCAAACTTGGTTGATCTTTGGCAAGACCAACAATGGATCCTACAAACTACAGCCAGATGATGGCAGTAGTGTTGAACACCTGCTTGGATTGGTCAACCTTCCCTCTGTCCCCAGGCAGGATGGTATTCGGAGGGAAGTTGGATAATGGAGCATGTGTATTGATGTCCCTGTGCCAGTCACACTCCTAACGTACTGGTAAACCTCTTAACCTTCCTAATCTTAGCAGTTGTCCAGCCTACGCAGCCTGTGCAGTATGCCATTTTCAAGCAGAGTCCCTTCAGAGAAGGTAAGTCTGCTCTCCTGGGATGGGGGGAAAAAATCAATGCAACCATGTGTTTAAATGTTACAACTTTATTTTTTAGGCCATGCTGCTGTCTCCTCAAGCAGAAAGGAACTGGGAGGGTTTGTGTTCAGTTCTTGAAGATGTCTTGGAGGACCAGTCCCACAGGCAGCTGTTGGCCTTAGAGCTGGGGTCAGGGACGGGGCAGCACGTCATGCGATTTGCCCAGAAGATGCCATTTGTTACCTGGCAGCCGTCGGATATTAAAGACGAGGCTTTGAACAGGTTTGTGTCTGGACCAAGCTCCACCAATAATATCTGACACATTCAGTAATGTGGTGATTAAAATTATTGCTAATGCATGTGATTCAAAATTATGCCAAATTCTTTGGTCTGTGTGGGTGCTGCTAATTTTTAAACCACATTCAACATGACTTTGTTACAGTATCAAAGCATGTATCACTGCAACCCATGCAAAGACAATACTGCAGCCAGTACACCTGGATGCCAGTGAGCCATTGGAGAAATGGACAGGAGTGACCAGTGACTCTTGTGATGTCATTGTTGCCATCAACTTACTGCAGTATAGCTCCTTTAAAACCGCTCAGGTAGGTCTGATCATTATAGCAAGTCAGCTGATGGAATAGTTGGTCCAAAACCTGGCCCGGGGGCTAATCCAAGCACTTTGCATTGACATTGTCCAATATTTCTTTCTGGAAGTTATACTTAATATCCTACAATTAAGGCAATTTGACAAAGAAGTCTTTTAACCTAATGCCACACTAAAAAGGAAGGGCTTTTTTTATATTAAAAATTTCAATTTTGTTTTTCAACTTGACTTTAATTTGACTTTTATTTAATCACCTTTATATCAGTGATAAAGTCAACCTTTGGCTATTTTCTTGCTTTATTTCCTTCTTCTTTGGGCTCATACATATCTACTGTAGTTATTGTTTCTCATTTAGCTTTTACCACCAGTCCTTCAAGTAGCAAATGTTACTAAATATTTAACTTGTACCCTATTGTTACAATTGTGTCTGGTTATTTTTTAGGGTGCTTTCAAAGGAGCAGGCCAGGTTCTCAACATATGGGGTTTGTGTTGTAGTTTTGAGTTTAATATGAATTGTTTTTTTTAAAAAACAACAATAAATTAATGAAAATCCCCTTTGACTTAACATTTATGTTTCAGATGTATGCAATTAATGGCACCATTACACCCAGCTGTAATGAAAACCTCGATGCAGAACACGAAAAAAGTGAGTGTGTAATCAGTTTTCCTTCAATACAAAGAAGTTTGATTGTCTTTTCTCCTTCAATATTACACCCAGTTCTTGGGTTTTATTTTGTCTTTCAGAAATCCAGAGTGGGGTCTTCCGGACATTGACGTTCTGAGACAACTGGCTTATGAAAATGGGATGCGTCTGGAAAGAATGGTAAGGAATGCACTTTTTTTTTTTAAGCAAGTGATGGAACAATTTCACAACTCTGTTTTCATTCCAGGTTGAGATGGAAGAATATTACAAATGCCTCATCTTCAGAAAATTCGAATTTCACATTTTGTTATTGTTTAAATGTTTGATTTAAAGATAAATGCCCACAAAAAACAAACAAACTGAGGATGTATTTATACTGTGTAGAATTATGTTATTGATTGTTTTCATTGTATTGACACACGTGGACAGTGAGAACCAGATATTTATTAAATATAATTTTAAAATTACTTTTAAGTCAGACAGATCAGACTGATGCAATTAAGAAGTTCACAGATGGTAACTGACCGGTTACAGAAAATCACTGGTTTGTCTGTGTGTAGCTGATAATTACAGCAGCTTGACTGAAAGTTAGTGCCTGGTGTCCCAGGGCTCTGACTGTGCTTTCTCTGCAACAACTTCACCCTTATTTACACATTTACCTTTGATAATGGCACGTAACGGTCTTTGAATCACTTCTTAACCTACAACGTTCAACAACTTCTTTTCCACCACGGAACTAAAGATTAACATGCAAACATTTTCTAGAAAAATATGAGACAAAGGATGTTTACGTCTTTATTTTTCCTTAATTAATAACAGATTTTCATAATTTGTTTTTAATATCACTGACTATTTATTCCTGTGGTTCAGTTACTCATTTATTAAGGGATGTTGGTATGTGTGTTTCCAGCGGGGGAGCATCAGAGTCCAGAGAAGGAGAGGAGACCGAGGAGGGTGTAGTGTGTCACTGCAGCGTGTGGGTTTTCAATCAAAGGAAATGAGCTGAGCCTCTTTGCTGCCCTGCACAGCCTGAGGCGGCTGCTGCTGCACAGGCTGCTGCGGACCACCAGGGGGAGCCACCTGGCAAGAGAAGGCAAGTTTAATAAACAGAAATAAAGTAGATGCAGTTTAAACGTTGGTAATTCCAAACCACAAGCACGTCTGGTGGTCAAACAGGGAAGTTTGACACTGTGCTGATGAAGCAGCCTCTTTGGCACTGGTATGTGTGGAACGAGTCCAACACAACAACTAATTCATGGGTGCCATTGCTGTACAGAGCCACTGAGAGGTCATTTTCCTGTCACACGGTCAGCTGATCTGACCACAGAGCAGACCACAGTCACCTAGAGCTGACAGACAGACTTATTGGGGCCAGTCATGGTACCATTTTGTCAGTTCTTTGTTTTGACATTTACGTATATGGAAATAAGGTCATAAATTAAAAGCCGTTTCCTGTGAAGTTTCATCTTAACACACATCCTCTTTCTTAGCACGGCCTCTTCCTCTTTCTTGACCCTCCATGTTTCCAACCTTCAACCTCCTCTACAACTGAGGACACAAAAACAGTTTTGTCTTTCCTCTCATACTTCAGAAACACCCACTGTCACAGGTCAGCTGTCTGTGTAGAGGTAAATTTAGAATGTTTTACTAGACAGCGCTGAGCACTGCAGCTTTTCCTGTTGGGCAGAGGTTAAAAATGTACATAATTACTTCCATGCAGGTTTATTCCTGGGCAGTGGAGATAAAGCTTCCAGAACATGTCTGACAAAAGCTCATTCAGTTAATCACTTCTACACAATCGTGTAGCTGAGCATAAATTAGGTGACTTATAAAAAATAAAAAAATGAATGAAAAAAATAATGATATTTTTTGTACCATCCAGCTGCCAAGATGCACAGGAGGAACTACAGGAGTTTCAGGAAGGAAGCCGTGAACTAGAGGCCGAGTTGGAGGCACAGCTGACTCAAGCCGAACACCGTCTGAGAGACCTACAAACTGAGAATGAAAGGCTAAAGAACGAGGTGTCCAACCTCAAGGTAACGGCACTACGTGACCTGCCCCTGGCTTAGTTGGTATGGGGCCAGCATGAGTATTCATATGTTGATAAGGACACAGGTTATGTAATCTGTTGGATCCTAACGATAAGATCCAAAGTCTCATTTGTTAATAAAAAAACAAATCTCAAGAAAATTATTCATAGAAGTTAGAACAAGGATACATATAAAACCTGCACAATAAGTTTTAATAAAGTATAATTGTTCACATGGACCACCACGTGACTAAGCTGGTAGCAGCTGATGCTAAGAACTCTGAGTGTTAATAAATCATGTTTCACAGCCGTGCAGCTGGTCACCCACTGCAGTGTAAGAGGAAACCAGTCACAGGGCCTGTACCTATGGAACAAAGAGAGCCTTTGAATTAATGTGTATGAGCGTCTGTACGTTGAGTCTTGTGATCTCATTAGTGCTTCTGCTAATAACTGTTGTGTTGTATATAAAATAACAAATTGTACTTTGACAAATCACACTGTTATGTGTAATTTAATTTGGTTGAGCTGTAGCAGAAAACTGAGAAGATTGCTTAAGCCCAACAAATGGATTTCAAATGCTTTAAAAACTTAAAACTGAATTGAAATCTTCTCACATTAACATATTCTTTTTTTTTTCTCAGGAAAAGTTGGAGCACCAGTACACACAGAGTTATAAACAGATTTCCGTGCTGGAGGATGATCTGGGTCAGACACGCAGCATCAAGGAGCAGCTTCACAAATATGTGAGGGAGCTGGAGCAGGCCAACGATGACCTGGAAAGAGCCAAGAGGCAGGAGTGATGCTTTATATTTAATGTCGATGCAGCTCACAGAAATTATGTGGATTTGACTGTTTGAAGCACAGAACAAGTCAACCACTGTTCTGTGTCTTCAAGTGAATTAATTTTTTTTATATTTTGCAAAGATGCCTTGAAAATATTTCTGAATCACTTAATGTTATCGTAACAATTTCCAGACAAAGTAATTGTTGTACTGAAGCTCTTTTTATGGAAGTCCAAAAAATGCATTTGAGACATCTTCTACAACAGGTTTACACAGTGTCAAGTCTTGTATATAATACAGTAAATGACATGGGTCACATGTGGCAAATGCTGGTTTAAAACTGCATTATCAACTGATGGAATTACCAGATGACCAAATATTTTGAAGTAATAATGTGTTGTGCTATTTTTTAAAGAAGTCACAGGATTCAAAATCTACTCAAAAATATCTTTACATCCCCTCTGGAGGGAGTGTACTACCACTGTAAATTTCTTTCTAGTGATTTCTTCAGCATGTTGAGCTTCAGTAAAATATACCTGAAATGCATTAACAGTTATTTTCACTCTCTCTGTTCAGGGCCACAATAGTTTCCCTTGATGATTTTGAGGGTCGTTTAAATCAGGCTATTGAGAGAAATGCCTTCCTGGAGAGTGAGATGAATTAAAATGTGCATCTTGGTTTTAGATCATGGCCAAAGTAATGGAGATGTACCAGACCAGCGCAGTGTTCCTTCAGTGTGGAGCCGATTCAACGTAACTATTAAAGGTATGAAAGAAATGGATTTAAGCCTTTCACAGGTATTGACTAAAGAGTGACACCAACTGGACAAATCCAGTAAAGACCAAATTGACTACAGCCAGAACAAGTAGTATTGTTATTGTATTTACTTTGTCTTTGCAGAAGTGAAAAAGGAAGAGATGGACATTGGGGTGAGGACTTTGAAGTTTGTGCTAGATGGTGAGTTGTTTTTGGCTTTGTCCAAATAGTGTTTTTATTTGTTACTTGAATTTTTTCATGTAGTTATTATTGAATGTGAAGTTCTTTAGAGTACTAAGTAGTGGCACAAATCAAATGAGTGGTTTGCTTAGGTAGATTGTAGTGGTTAATCGATGTGTTTTGTAACATGTACAGAGCATTTGTATTGAATGTTGTCTTGATTTCATCTTGTTTCGGACCAAAAGAAGAGGGTTAACCAAGTTGTTCCACTCCTGATGATGGGACCTCCGTTGAATCCTGTGAGCACATGTGGTTGACAGAAGTAGTGTTGTGACTATGTAATCTGTCATGTATTGTTTTTAAATATGTATTTATGGACTTTGTGATTTATTGCATGTTTTGTAAATGTGAAATGCTTTGCTAATAAAAGTTGTTCTGTTCATGGTGAAAGTATTCTCAATTTCTGGAAATGAATGCAGACCACACACAATATTCCAACAACGTTCTTTATTCTGGAAGGTTTACAACAATCAAATACACTTCACAATGAAAGTGACTATTTTACAAAGGCAATGAAGCACAATTAATTGTTACCTTTAGATAAGGCTTGTTCTGGAAGGTTCACAACAGTCTTTTAGCTTACAATGAAAGTACAATATCAGTAAGGCACAATGAATGACAACGAGCTGGAATAACACAATCAAAAGCTGTCTGTGTAGGTTCTCAGTCATTGAATCCAAAAATAGTTGCATCAAGGGCAACTGGACAAAGTAGTTGTTTTTTTTTGTTTTTGTTTTTTAAGACGTTTCTCATCCAAGAGGCTTCTTCAGTTCTGATGAACTGAAGAAGCCTCTTGAGGAGAGGTCAAATCCACCTTGTCCAGTTGCCCTTGATGTAACTATTTTTGGAACAATCAAAAGCTGTGTTGGTCTCATTTACCTCTTGCCTTCAGAGTGGAAAGCCACACAGTTGATGGGACCAGAATGACCTTTGACTCCTGCCAAACTCCTCGTCGTACACAGCTTGGAAGAACCTGCAGATTAGAAGAACACGTCACTGTGCCACAAGTTAACACAAACAAACAGGTTTTCCTTAAAAGCAGCTACAAAGTAGTCACTTCCACAGCACAATCAAATGTCATAACAATTAAATGTTTACACATCACTATCAACAACAATACAGATTCAATGCTTTAAACAGATACAGTATGTCATCACTACATAAAGGCCTTTGTAACAAAGTCGTGGCTTCTTCAGTGCTAATGCTAACACCACAATGGAATAAAGAACATCTACATTTTCTTTATCTGTTTCTTTTGTTTAGATGAAGACTTCAGACTCTGGAGACACCACTTCAACTCACCTGGCCTCAAACTTGCCAATCCTGGTGGAAGCTGTGGTCACTTCCATGGCCTCCTGTCATAAGCACCTACAACACACACACAATTGCAAGGTTCGAGGTCACTGTTGATCAACTGAGATACGCATTGCACAGCCACAAATTCATTGGACGTGATCCATGATTGGAGAAATGGCAGCGTCACAGAGCTGCAAAGACAACACATGGTCATTTACACACCACCTACAGCAGTGATCATCAACTGGCAGTCCACGTCTTGGATTCCAAAACAAACATTAAATAATAATTTCATTTTTACTCCACTCTCTCTGGGTGGCTGACTTAGAGCCTTTAACAGCACCACACAGTCAGCTTTGAACTAAGCAAACTTTTATTCAAGCACTAATCTCCTTCAAGTCTCCTTTAAGGTCTTAAAGTAACAGACAGTCAAGTCACTTAGCTTTACTGGACTGCAATCTGTCAACATTAAAAAGTAACAAAACCATAACAACCAGTTCATTTCAAACTCTATGACTAATTTCTCCTAAGATGCACTTCAAATATTCTAAAGTCTATTTCCGTATAAGTACATAAGTCAGTGGATTCACATTACGACACCAACACACCTAGACTGAAGGACAATGTCATTGTAAATAAATGAACGAGTGGAAACACTTAAAGTAACCACACCTACGACTGTGGGGTTTTTTTTTTGGTGTATCTTCTTAACCCCGAGCAATTTGTAAATGTTTACTTCAGTTTACACATACTTACTGTATATAATAAACTATCAATAAATATCTTTAATTACATTTTTCATTCACTTATTTTTGTTGTTCTACTGTGGAGTGGGGGTCTTGAGCACAAATGACTGGAGGGTCACAAATCCATACATACGTATATAAAAACGACAAATCCAAGAGTTGAAAGGAAAACAATAACTCTTTTTCTGTGGTGAAGACTTCCATTAGGCAACTGGACATGACATTTTCATTCAACAGACACAACCTACCCACATACTGAAACCATTCTGATGAGGATTACAACGACCCATCAGACTCCTAACAACTGTTAACACTTCCCCAGATGACCCCAACAAGACGGACCTGGAGTAGCTTTATTTTTTGTCACACCCACAGTATATATTTGCTGTCCTCCCCTCCACCAGTTAGAACTGAAGAAGCCTCTTGAATGAGAGGCGAAACGTCTTCTTGAGAAAATGTCACATCCAGTTGCCTAATGGACCTCTTCAACCTTGACCTGGATGACTGAGAATCTTCATAGACAACTCTTTTCTTTATTCGCCTTCAAAAACTCAGGTTTCATTTTTAAGGTTAAAAACAAATCTCTTCTCTGGGTGTTCTCCCTGATGGCCAGCCAGGTGTCATTCTGATGACTTTATTTATAACATTTTTCAACAACTGTTATCACATCAATCAATAACATAAGAGTTCTCACCTTGGCGGTGTTGTCCTTTGAGACACTGATAAACATGGTGAGGTCTACAGACGTCTGGATGTCGTTGATGTGCCTGCTGTGCTCCTTAGCTTTCTTTAGGACTTCTCCGGAATACTGACAACAAATAAACAACAACAAAATGTTCCTCATTATCACAAGCTCTACAAAAGATGCTGTCTGTGATTCATTATTTCCTTCAGTATTTCATTTCTAAAATACTGTGTACAAACTATTTCTTTAGCAGTACTCAGGAAGCCGTGCATCTGCAGTCTCGTTTCTTTTAAGGTATTAATTTGTTAACATTGCGTGTGACAATTACCTACCGATCTGTGGATCCCTCAGGTCGAAGAGGTTCATGAAACACTGACAGCCCATCTGCTTGTCTGTGGAAAACATGATGATGTTGCAGCTGAAATCAAACCCACATGTTCTGATGGCAGACATTAAAGAAGGGACACGGAGCAAACATTAAACACCAAAATACATTTAAACACTTGTTCACATAACATCCACTAATATGTCTGCTGGAACTGCCTATATAGTACGGTATATTTAATTTCATTATTTCACTACTCAAATATTTAAACTGTGCATATATTTCATATATTATTTATTTTATATACCTGTTCACATAACATCCGTGTAATTATACTAGTTCTGCTTATATATATATATAGATATAATGTGGTATACTTTACTATACATACACATCATACCAACTTAATTTAGAATAAATATATAATAATTGAGATTGCAGTCAACACCACACACAGCAACAATAATTACCCATTAATCTGCTAATACTACTAACACTAATCGATCTACTTCTGCTAACAGACTAATCTACTGACGTCCAGTGTTCAGATTTACCATATTCATTGACAGTGTGCTGCTTCACATGTATTTTACCTATTTGTGCGTTTTTTATTGTTGTTTTGGTGCTGTACTGCTGCTGAAACTCCAGAGGGACTCAGAAACTTCTATCTATCCATGTAAACACAGGCATTTTCTTTTCACCCTCCAATCACGCAGTTCCACTGTCATCAGCTGATCCTGTCAAAACATTTTTGGTGTCCCCTGAGAAGAGCCAGTTAGGGAACGTCTTGGCAGCAATTCATGAGCGTATGCTAGGGTCAACTGTGTCATGATTACACATTTACTTGATACAATAACTGTCAGACAATTAATCACAATATTACAATTATTATGCTTTTATTGGTTTCACAACACTGTGCTGTTTCATGATAACATAACCTTTAATGTCATAACATTGTTGCAGTATGTTAGTCTGTCCTTGTTTATAGTTTGAGGTCACCTTCACATTGGTTATATTTTCTGACGCTACTCAGGAAATGTTAGGGGATCCATCCCTGGTGAGGACATACTGAGCTAAAAAACATCAAAGGATACAGTCACAGTCGACGCACGGCACAGCTCCCATGTGTCCATTGTAGGTGCCGAGTCGTACCACACATTGGCCACCTGTGGGGGAACAGTGTTGGAGGTAAATATTAAAAGGCTTCAATGCAATCATGGCTTCACTTCACAAATGATTAGTTTGCTCTACATTACTGGCGCCACCAACAACCTCAAGAAGAAATTCATGTTGCACTAACTTCCTTTTCTGAATCTGAATGAAAATAAATCAGTTCTATTGGCCCCTATTCATGATTACTGTATGATTTACAGTGTCATATCACACACACTATAGAGCATATAGCCGTATGTTTGTAACAATTGCAAAACTCCCGAGGGACTCAGAAACTTCTACATATCTATCACATGCATTTTCACCCTCCAATCACGCAGTTCCGCTGTCATCAGCTGATCCTGTCAAAACATTTTGGTGTCCCCTGAGAAGAGCCAGTTAGGGAACGTAGCATGTATCACGGCAGCAATTCATGAGCGTATGCTAGGGTCAACTGTGTCATGATTACACATTTACTTGATACAATAACTGTCAGACAATTAATCACAATATTACAATTATTATGCTTTTATTGGTTTCACAACACTGTGCTGTTTCATGATAACATAACCTTTAATGTCATAACATTGTTGCAGTATGTTAGTCTGTCCTTGTTTATAGTGTTTATTGTTTGAGGTCACCTTCACATTGGTTATATTTTCTGACGCTACTCAGGAAATGTTAGGGGATCCATCCCTGGTGAGGACATACTGAGCTAAAAAACATCAAAGGATACAGTCACAGTCGACGCACGGCACAGCTCCCATGTGTCCATTGTAGGTGCCGAGTCGTACCACACATTGGCCACCTGTGGGGGAACAGTGTTGGAGGTAAATATTAAAAGGCTTCAATGCAATCATGGCTTCACTTCACAAATGATTAGTTTGCTCTACATTACTGGCGCCACCAACAACCTCAAGAAGAAATTCATGTTGCACTAACTTCCTTTTCTGAATCTGAATGAAAATAAATCAGTTCTATTGGCCCCTATTCATGATTACAGTATGATTTACAGTGTCATATCACACACACTATAGAGCATATAGCCGTATGTTTGTAACAATTGCAAGTCAAAACTAGCAGAGGGTTACTCTGCTACTCGACTAACAGAGTCGTGTTGTCATTTGTAGCTCCACGTGGACATTCCATATTCTTGACGTCAAACCAATTGTCCCATAGTCATTAGTGGAACTTGTTAAGTGCATCATTTTGTGTCACTTACTGGATCTTTAGCAACGGAAACAGAAGGTCTCCTTCTCCGTTGTACTTGATCTGACTGATGGACCGCTCGTGGCCCCGCAGTAGGATGGGTTTCTGTACAGAAAAGCAATATTTGAAAGTTAATTTAAATATGTATCCGCCAAGCTCAAACTCCAAGGCCAATTTCTTATTTACCACGACAACTCAACGTTCATTATTTTGACAAAAAAAAACTTTTGACAAAAGCTAACGTTAGCTGTCGAAACGCATATGCTAGCGTAAATTGCACTAACGGTCTCGACCGAACGACTACTACTTCAAACAAAATACAACTGACAATTGTTTTCAAAAACCCACCATTTTAATCAATCACATGTAGCCACCGTGTCCAGTTTTTTAACTTGAACGCCCGCTGGAAGACCAAACGACGTTTCACATGTGCTGGATCCCCAACCGGAAATAAGGACCGTACAACGTATCCCTTGCTGTTATACTAACGTTCCAATATCAGCGCGCCCCCTACAGTTGTTAACCGTAGACATTCACGTTCTTTCCTTTGTTATACAAACGTTCCAATATCAGCGCGCCCCCTACAGTTGACCGCTGACATTCACATTATTATTATTTTTTATTTGGTTTAGTCTCAGAACTGTTACTTTGATTAAAAAAAAAGCGTGCTTTGACGACTGTAACAGAAAAGCTCATTGGTGAAATACAGCGCATAATGGATAAAGTATTTGGACAAAATAGAATGTAAAATGGGTGGGCTGTAGGGGGCTTCAGGCTTTTGTCTTACAGATAAACCCATGTCTCTATGAGTGATTTTATTCCCTGTTCTCTGCGTGAAGCTTAAGACTATTTCAACTGTGTGGTCAACAACATTCAGCCTTAGTCATTCTTATAGTTTCACACTGCCTACCTAAACATGTGACCTTGTATAGTACAAGGGATGTCAACCCCTTTATTGACATTTGCCTTCTGCTATAACTGTTATCTTGTTAATGACAGGATCTCACAGTGTCCTGGTGATACGGTGTCTGTTGTCCTTCAGACACTTGATTACAGGATTACTAATGTAGGGGAGCTAACAGCAGGCTGCTGTTGGGCGTAACAGTTGTCTGTACACGGCATGTTCTGGCATGACCGAGTTTCACAAGTTCAGCATAGCAACAAGCATTATGTCACCAAAAGGGGGGTAGTGTACAGTCGATGTGTACGTGCAAATCTTCTCTGGGGCCCCCTAGATTCAAAGCTACAGCAACTGTATACACACACACGTGCCTACATTCACACACATACGCACATGAACACCGGATGTTTCCTCCAGCTGTGGAACCAGGCGTACCAAACCATCCCCAGGGAATGTTGTGGGGAGAGAAGAGTGGGTTTGAAGACCAGCAGAAAACCACGGACGGAGTTTCCCTTATCTGAACATGCCGCTTTGAGCTGCTATGTGAAATAGTAAAACAAAGTTAATGGACCCATTAGTGAATAGAGTACACACACATTCACACACAGGCTCTGGTTGAGGGACTCAGCTATTGTTTGAACACAAAACACATAAGCACGATGCTGTTCACTTTGTTGACATTATTCTGAGGCCTGTGAATGACAGCTACGGTGAGGGAGGTGAGGCTGCAACAAGTGTGGACGTACAATGAACAAGAGAGTGAGTTCCTTGCAGCTGTTTCAAAGAGAGTAAGAGACACACGGTGAGAGAGGGAGAGGGAGGGAGCAAGAGCAAGAGGAAGGAGGCTGAGAGGGAGGAGAGGGGAAAAAAGAAGCCAACTCATCTGACAGTCTGTGGGCCAAAGAAAGGGGAAGAGCAGGAGCTCTGGTTTTCAAAAAAGAGTGGAAAATTCAAGTTGGAGAGAATCAAGATAATAAGTAGGAAAAGTCACAGGACGGAGAGTCTGCACAGAGGGTGAACGGGCGAGACGTCTAAACTCAACAACTGAACAAAGGAAGAAAAAGGGGTTAAAGCAGGGACGCTGCCAACATCTACAGAAGAACGGTAGGAACTCCTCAGTCTGCCATGGGGACATTCCAGATTGACCTGATGTAATAATCTGGCTCTCATTTCTGCTTCCGTGTGTTCATTTGTTACTATAAATTACTTCTAAAGTCAGGAGTGCGTGCGTAGAGTTATGTGTGACAGATGAAACGGGGACAGGGGGAGGAGTGAGTGAGGGTGCCAGAGAGTGAGCAGTATGCTGGGCTCAAAGACTTTGGATTAGTGGGAACTTCCAAATGGGCTCCCGTTAAAACCTTATATACTCTTCATTTTGTTTTTTAAAGGGTAAATAGAATATTTAAGCATAATCTCATGCAGGACACTGGCTCAGTTGGAGACATTTTTAAGCCAGGGAAGTAAATATCCTGTTTGACCTACAGGGGATCATAAAAAGTCTGGGGAGCCAGTTTTGTGCTTGAAGGTGGTGAGTTGTAAAGTGCTTTTTTTCCCCTCACATTTGCGGAGACAATGCATTAGTATACTGATGTAATGTAATTTTTTTTTTAGCTTTATAAGTGAAAAAATGTCTGTGACATCATAAGGGGCGCGTTCCAAACTGGAGCCAGCAACAGTTTAATTCATCTGTAAAAATGTACAAAACTGTGGTCTGCAGGATACACTTGATTTCCCTGCATATTGTTTGCAAATAGTGTGCTTCATACACCTGTAAAAGTTTCTCAAAAAGGAAAAATTCATTTTAAGAACAGCGTAAAATTTCCATTCTACCCTACATTACCCTTCTATACCGCTGAATTGTTCAACTATATTTCATTACAAGTACTTTGTGGTTGTCTGACCAGAGCTAGTAAACTGCTCCCAGCTGCAGGCTGAAAAAAAACCCCCAAAAAACAAAAAACCAACAACTTTGAGGTTTTTACTGAAAAACACTGGAATGTTGTTTGATTTAAGATCTGTAGACATTATTGTTTACTTAAAATAACTTACAGTAGAATTACAGTTGATTTCAGTGTACAGGTCTGTGGCACAAGTGCAAAGTTATTATGAGTTAAAGAGAAAGATATCATCTCAAACAGTTAGAGTTTGAACAACAATAAAAAGCAACAACAACAATACCATATTTTCCAGACTATAAGTTGCTCCGGAGTATAAGTCCCACCAGTGCCCTCTAGCGGCTATCAGTGTGAAAATAATAAACAAGTGACATTATATATTTAAATATAAGTCACACCTGAGTATAAGTTGCAAACCCAGCCAAAGGATGAAAAAAGTACGACTTATAGTCCGGAAAGTACGGTAATGTTAGTAATACTAAGCTAGTACCTGTTAGCAATAAATACAGACAAGGCTGCGGCTTAAACAAAGTAGCTTTCACTAACAAAATCTATTTTTTCAATTTGCTACTAACATTTACACTAATTTATACACTTTATTGAACATAAAATAAATGAAATATTAAATATCAATACATAAAAACTATGTCTTCTATGTGTTAAATAGTAAAATAAGAACCACAACAATCTGATCCCTTTGTTTTTGTAAAAACTCCCAGTTGAACCCAGTGGGAAAGTCATTCAACGATGCGACAGGAAGTGAGGGGTTGAGGGTTAGATGGGGAGGGAGGGTTCATTATTTGTGTGACCTCCTGTGGATCTGGGGGTTGTCTTATCTTCCCGGCCTTGGGTTCAGACCTCAGAGCAACAGACGTTGAGACTGAGAGAGATTCCGGCCCGGGAGAAGCATGGCTTTATGCTCCTAGAGGAGCATGTGACGCCCCGTGAACAGCATGATGTGGAGGGAAATAATTGAATATAATGCTGCGTCAAACAGAAGCATGAGGCAAGAGTGGAAAAACAGACAAGACAGTCTGGGTGGAGTGTAGCTGCAGGGCACTGAAAGCAGAAAAAATGCAAAACCTGCTCTATTATTAAATATTTAAATAATTTCTCCTAGAACTATAACAGTAATAATGTCAGCACTGACACAGCACTGCTCTAACTCAGACCTCAATAACCTCAGTATTTCTGCAGATCCCTCCATGTTCCTTCTTTCCTCCTTTGAGTTTTAAAGCCCATCAACAAGTGTTCAGGTGTATCTTCTCCCAATAACTCCACCACAGATGGATCTAGCAGCACAGGAAGGAAATTGGGTGTGAATTATGGGATGTGTCCTGAACCTAAGCCCCTGTTAATTTTAGGCTCACTCATGTTTCAAATCTGGAAATGATGTGAGGCGATAGGCCTGCCTCTCTGATACCGCCTGGGTTGTTAAACTCTGCCTCTATTTACTGTTCACCTCCCGCTTCAGATTTATTGTGCATGTCGGCCTCCACTTTTAATGGCTTTATACGTCCTCCACTATAGCACGGTGCAGGCAGCGGAACGTTTTATCATATGTCTTTGTCCTGACAAGTGTACATTTATCTTCGGAGATTTTGTGCTTTTAATCATTACTCCACATTTGGGCAGATAATGGAGTAAGGATTTCAAACCATGTGCTTTTCTGTTGCACACGCCAAGTATTTTATATGTTGGGGAAATACTACAGCCAGCTTTAAAAATGAACCAAGAGTCATTCATAATTTGTTTAAAAAATGCCTATGAGAAGGATGTATAAATTAAAGTCATTCCCAAAAGTTATTCACTTTTCAAGTGCACTTCAAGTGACATCTATCGCATCCACTTTATTCCCATCAGGCCGTCCATTAAAAGGTTGTTGGGTTTAACAGTCTGAGCCATAGGTTATGTCCGTTTTGAGAAACACACCCCAGGGACTTTTAAAGGCCCCGTGTAATGGATGTGCAGCAACTCACAGTTTTCAATGCAAGAGTAGTTTTGGTGATTTATTCCTGGCATCCATACATGTCTACACTGTAGTAGTAGATAAAGTTTCACGACACCTAAGTCTATAATAGTTAATGGCCGGAGCTGATCAACGATTCACTTCTGATGTTGCTGCGATGAGTGTTTCTAAAACAAACTGCCGTCACAGGGGAAACAATGTATTTGTTATGCTACATCAGGTTATAATACAAATGCCTTTTCTTTCTTTCAATAATATAAACTGGTTTATGATGATACAGTCTGATTAACATGATAAAAACGAATTTTCCAGTTTCAAGTAATATTGGCATGGACAGTTTTAGCATATAAACACAATGTTTTATTGCGTTTTGTCATTTTAACCAAATACTAGCAATTTCTTTGAACCTTTTTTATGTATTTCTTATAGAGTTATAACATCTTTTAAATGTTTTATTGAAATTGTTTTTACATAAACAACATTTTTGTTCTTTCTGGCCTCCAGTACCTACCTGTAAATTCTCCATTACCCTATTCTTTTGTCCTTAAACTAATGTTCTAGGCGTTTTGCTTTTACTCACTGCTAATCATCTGACTTCAATTAGTTTTGATTTGTATATTTATTTCAGTTCAAAAAATCTTTCTTTTAAATTATTTCACATAACTTCTCAGTTTTAGCTATTTGCAATGTTAAGTTTAATTTAATTTTTCTTTTTTTTTAAACTTTCACTTCAGCTGGCTTGCATTTGATCCTTTCTTTGCAAACCAGAGGGTTAGAAGGTTGATTTTACTTATGGACCCGCCAGGATGTACTTTGAGTTTATTTTTATTTTTATTTTTTAAGTGGGACTGAAGCTGCTGTTGTTAAAATGTCTGTGCTGAAGTCAGATGATTCCAGGGATTTGACCTCAGGTCAACGCTAGAATCTGACACTAGTGTGTTTGTCCACATAATCATATAATTAAATTTACATGTGTTTTGAATATAGTAACAAACAGCGTAGATCAGGAGTCAGGATGACATCACAGCCTGAACCTATCATGTGTTCTTTACAGAGAACAGGATGTCGACGCTGTCATCAGAAACCAGTGCATCAGACGCCAACAACCGCAGCTTCTGGATGGTAAGAGTACATACAGTAGGATCTGTATACTGTACATTAATTAGCATTTGTGTTGTGGTGTCTGCTGGAGTCTCCCCACTTTTTCACACAAGAAAAATGTTGACCCCAGTTCACTGTGATCTGCTCTGTTTGGGTTTAACTGCACCCAGAGCCACAGTTTTCAGCTCATTAGTTACTTGAGCTTCTGTTCTTGCTTGACAAAGAAGTATGTATAAGGGTCACGTCTCCTGGGACTTTTTTTTTTTTTTTACCATTTTCACTGATATTTGGGGCACAACAGCCCCAATAGTTATTTCCTCCAGTGGACATGATAAGGCTCATCTCATGTCATCTGGTGCTATGTTATGTTATTATGTAATGTCACCTGATCTCACTGCATCTGATCTCAGCTTAACTTTTGTTAGTTAGATTAGGCAAATCTTCAGGGTCAAGAGAAAGTTAAATTGTGTAGTGATCCAAGTGGACCTTGGACCGGGTCTGTAATGACCCGGCTGTCGGAGTTCCAATTCAATCAGTCATTTCCTTCCCCCTCTTCTTATTGCATCGTAAAAATCGATCTTCTCCATTTCCGTTAAAATCTACTCATAAAACGTCTAAACCAAAGTCAACGCAGTGGGTCTGTAGTGAAACAGTACAAACTACAGCAGCAGGACCAGAGAAAATCCAACACATCTAAACTTAAAGCCCTCCCAAAATACTCCCAATTAGTTGACTTTTAAAAATATGAATTATCTTACACTATTTCCCACAACAACGCTGTGTTCACGGTGATTATTGAATGTAAACTGGTGACACGATGAGATAAAAACCACAGTTCAGCCTTGAACACGGAGCTCCGTCTGATGAAAGCGCTCATGTTCTGTGAATTACTGTTAGCTATAGTTTTAGCCACTCGCCTTCGTCTGCCAGCCGTTCCTGTCATGGTTACTTTCAGTAAATTTTCTCACACAGCCTTGGCCGTTCTGCACGAGTCTTTCTTAGGCCTGTGTGTTGGCTGTGCTGTAATAAAGTGTAAATCATCAGAGACATCCTTGATATGACTCACATTTTCCCTTTTCCTCCTTCTATTGCACTGCATCACGTACATGGCTGTGTTACAAGGGAACGGAGGGACACAGTGTCTGCACTGACTAGTTGGTAGTTCGAGACCGGCCAAGGCATTAACCCCAAATCAGAATTTGACTGGAGTAACAACCTTTGAGACAGTAGTGTATAAACTGGGCCTGATCACGCGTCACACATGGGAGTGGGTTTACGACTATCACAGCAACTGAAATCAGTTTTAAAGATTGTTATAATAGTTCAGTTTATGTAGCAATGTAGGAAAAAATAAACCTGCAGCATTTCATTAACAAAAAAATACGGACCAGAGACGAGCAGTAGTAGGAATCCCCCCCGGCTTGCAGAAAGTTCTGGCCTTGATTCCAACTCGTCTCAAATCTCAGGCTGGGTTTCGTTCAAGAAGGGCATGAGGTTCAAACACTCCACACTGCCAAATCACTATGCAGACTATGGCTGTGGCGCCCCCTGATGACATGGAGTAATTTTGCTTCATATTTCATCAACAAAAAAACAAGCCTTAAGCTTTATATTTCAGCCTTACACAACAGCAGACCTGAAAGCTCAAGTTGTAATCTTTAAACTTCAGGTTTTTTCCATTTTAATGACTCATTGTTTTAGAAAGTTTTTTTAAAAGATGATTTTGCACAGAAAGATCCGTGTTTTATTAACTGAAACTGTTGATGCAGAAAGAGACTAAAAAAGTAATATCTAATAGATTGCCTATAACAACATAAAACAGTTCCATTGGCATGATGACACAGGATCAAGAACACTGATGTTATAAAAACACAGAGTCCACTTTATCTCTGTTTCCCTCTAACACACACTTTCGTGCCTTCTCATTTCATTCCCTCTGTTTTCAATTGTCTAGAATTTGTCTGCTGTGATCCAACGACATCAACAAACAAACAAAGAGCTAACTGTGCTCTCGGTTTACGAGGCACACTTCTCTTGAGTCATCATGTTTTCGAGCTGCAAACCTTTCCAACATCCAAACTGCTCAGCTGTCCTGTTGGAGAGTGTGTTACCACTTTAATATTGGCTTTGTCTCCCGTTGGCCTGAATGTGTTGCTCCACTTTTATCTCTCTCCCCTCCTGTAATTTTGGCAGCCTCCTGTTGTGTCGGATTGGCTTCTAGTTTTTTTTCCCTGTCTGTTTTACCCTCCTCAAGGCTGCCTGTCATTACGTTGCTAAGCTAAGCTAAGCTCTACTCTGACGTATTTGTGTACTCAGTCGAGAGGTCAGAACTCAAAGTCCCAGAAGGCACTTGTTCTTAAACTATCAAACATTTAACAGTTTAGCTGAATCTCTCTGTCATCGGTATGTTATTGTACTTCACCTAATTGTACAGTACTCTAAGTACTGTAGTACTGTAAGTAGTACGGCTCAAAATCTTACCACTTAGAGTCAAGTGGTATTATATGGGATATATGTAAAGGTAAAATAAAATAAACAAGTTGTTCCAGAAGGTTTAGACCAGACTTCATACAAATGTAGCAGAGCTGACAGTTTGAAGTACTGCATGGAACATGTCCTCAAGCAACAGCATGAGTCGCATGTTTAGACTGAGGGTAATTTAGTTTTAACTCTGCTGTGACCCCACAAACTCACTATCATGACCCATTTTGGGCTCATGTTCTACCATTTAAGAAACACATCCATAGCACAGCCTTATAGCATACATGGTAACAGTCTCTGTGTGTTTTTTCTTCATTTTGCTTGACAATTGCTAAAGTCTACGCAAGATGAAAAACATTTCCTGACAGTTAATCTTCATTTTTAATAATCATTTCCAGACAGAGTTGTTGTTGTTTAGTCAAGAGCCATGTCTTATAAAATTGTAGCTCTTTGAAAGAAAGTTAATCCGAATCGTGCTCTAACATCTGTGAGAGCGTTTTCAATTCAACAACTACAACTTGCTGTCTGTTAACTGTCGTTAAATCAACAGTTAGCAGACATGCTAATCATATCAAAGACCAGATGTATACACACATATCTACCTCTCATCATGAACCATAACAACACACGTTCATGCAGAGAGTTCATATTGAAAGGGTTTTTTTCATGAGACGCCATTTTTGCCTGACGTAGCAGTTTAGCTAGAACCTCCAGGAGCAGAGATGGACCCACTGAGTCTTAAACTGCTGGCCCTTAACTGGATTCCTCAGCTGTTTCTGTTTAACACTCAGACAAGTAAGGAGATCCAGTGAAAACCACAACAGAGGCAAATGGAGAAAGGCAGGAGGAGAGAAGAAGGGAGGGGGAAACAGGGAGGGAGGGGGATTAATGAAAAGTACCCCCAGCTGATTCCCCCATGCTCCCCTCTCACCAAGGAAACTGGGCCAGAAGTGAATGCTTCTTGTGAAACACACATCAACTTACAATAAAAGTCTTACAGGAAGAGAAGAGAATTCTCCGAATGGAATTGAAAGCAAAACTAAGAATCTCTATGAGTCTTGGCTCCTCTTCCTTAATCATTCCATCCATTTTGACTACTTTTCCAACACATTCAGCTCACGTCTTGTTCATGCTCCACTCCACAGATCATAACAAAATGCATTAGATGATACTGATATATAAATAAATCAAACAGGAGCTCAGCGGCTGGTGCCATGACAACCAACCGTCATGTTTGGAATAGAAAAAAAAATGTAATTCAGTTTTTACTGTATGTAGCTGAAAACATGAGAATGCCTCCTGTTATTGCTTCAGGCAACACTGACCTTTCCCTATATAACGGTTTGGGTGTTGACCTTCCCAATGTATTCTCAATTTAATTATCCACTGATAAAATCTTCCTCTGGGAACAAATGCCCTTTAGATTAAGGTCACTGTGGAAAATTTCCCTGCACACGAGAAAGGACATTTGTTATGAATTTGAAGAAATAAGATCCTACTGTGAATTTAGTAAAAGCCAGAACAAAAAGAAGAAAAAAAAAAACAACAAAAAAAGAACACTTTTGCTTTCAAAAATCACCAGCTGACTGGAGACAGTCGTGCTCTGGTTTAGTATACTGATGTGTGTAAAAGATGTCTTTAAGGATGTGACCCACAAGGCACTGTACAGTATTAGCAACTCGAGCCCCGTTGCTAACACGTTTAAAGACGGAATGTCGGGAAAGAGAGGGAGTCACATATTCATATGGTGATTACATTAAGTGCAATGATTTACCAACATGACAACAACAACTGTCTGACAGTGTCAGCCACTAACGACAGCAGTCGACTTTGACACAGAGTGAAGCAGAGAGGGAGTAGGAGGGCGGGCGGTGGCTGCCAGGAAACTTTCAGAGCCATCTCCAAGTTCCACATCCACAAACAGCACACTTGCTTTAGTTTTGCCACTGCGCTGAGAGGAGATGGCCTCCTCTCTCCTGCCCTCCCATCCTCCCGTCCTCCTTATTTCCTAGCAGGCCTTTTCACGGCTGAGCCTCGTCCTCATGTCCACTCACCACACCCTACACCACACATTACCACAGGAAACCTGATGCCTGTGAAGTGTAATTTGCGGCACGTGATGGTTGACCCGGTGGTGTCACAGTTGTGAAAGCAGAAGAGAGTGAACATCGTCCAGAGCAGCTGGACTGGTTCCATGTTGAAATGATCAGAGTCAGAGTGGTAGAACAGTGAGAACAGATATTGATGTGGAACATCCTGGCACGACTTCACAAGATACATAAATATACTGTATAACGGAGGTCACTGAAGGATCAGGTTATTATTTTAGTAACACTAATTTTAACAAGATCAAAATCTGAACATTAAATATATTTTAAAATAACAATAACACTCGACACATGGTCATGTATTGATAATTGATTGAAATTAATATTTCAAATATAAACCACGTTTGAGACCCCATCTGTTATACTGTACATGTATTCTGTCAAGTATTACATGCAGCTGGAGTTTTCCACGGGCTTCTTCCCTGTGTTTTAGAAGTAGTAGTTGTAGTAATATGATAGTTGTGTAATCATTTGATTTATTATTATTTATTTCTCACACTTTTTCCATCATTGTTTTCATTTCAGTTTTTTGCTCTGCCAAATTAGTGTGAACAGACGTAGTTGTGTTTTTTTTTGGTTTTCAAGATTCAAAGACTGTTTTAAACACCGGTGGAGGTACAACAGCAATTGTTTCTTTTATTTATACAAAAATGGTAATTATGTCTGACTAAAGTCCACTGATTGTTTACTGTGTTTTGTTTCATTACTCACTGTGTGAAGACGATGTCTCACTCTGATCTCTTCGTGTCCTGACAGCCTGGGAATTACCAGCGCACGGTGAAACGGACAGAAGATGCCTTCCAGGCCTGTAATGACATAGTGGCGTGTTTTCAAGAGAGAGCGCGGGTGGAGAGGCAGTACGCCCAGCAGCTCAGCGAGTGGAGCAACAAGTGGAAGCCGGTGGTGGACTCCAGTGAGTTCAGTAACTGCACACTAAATAAACATCTATGATGTGGACATTGGTTCCATCTTAATTTCAAACTTTTGAAAATCCTTTCATCTTCATCTTCCTCCTCTTCCTCCTCCTTCAGCTCCTCTCTACGGCTCTCTTCTGAAGGCCTGGCAGTGTTTTCTGTCCTCTGCCGATCGGCTGGCCAACTTACACGGCTCCGTCTGCCGCTCGCTGGTGTCGGAGGACGGGAACCAGGTCAGAACGTGGCAGAGGGACTCCTTCCACAAGAAGTTATTTGGAGGCTTCAAGGAGTCTCAGGACATCGACACAGGCTTCGCACGTGCTCAGAAGCCATGGGCCAAAAAACTAAAAAAGGTCAGTCTCTTTAAGAACGTTTAGGCCAATTTTGTACATGAAACGGGAGGGAAATTCAATTTATTTGGTTTTGCTCTTCCACAGTTGGATAAAGCCAGGAGGGCGTACCATAAGGTGAGCCGCAAAGAGCAGGCAGCCAAGGAGAGAGAAGCACACGCTCAGGGAAACCCAGATGTTGCCATTGACAAACAGAAGAAGATCCAGGAGGAAAGGGAAGTGGCTCAACAGGAGGCTGAGAAGGTGAGGAACAAACTCAAAACTCCAATAGTCTGGTTGGTTGAACATATTACCATAAATCTGACATATAAAATATAACACATACATATGCTCATTACAGACTGTGGTTGATTTATTTACATATTATTTAGTGAAATGTGGTTCTGCGTTAGAAGGAAATAAACGACTTATATTTTTTAAGGTTCGCGCTCGGTACGAAAAAATCCTGGAGGAAGTGAACCGCTACGCTCCACGCTACATGGAGGAGATGGAGTCTGTCTTTGACCAGTCCCAGGAAGAGGAGAGGAAGAGGATCGTCTTCCTCAAGCAGGCCTTCCTGTCCATCCATAAACACCTGGACGTGACCACCAACGAGAGGTACGTCACGGCGCTCGTTGTCTCATTTGTAAAAGGATTGATTTTTTGCCCCGTCGTTGCTGAAGAGGTAATGCTCATTGTGGTACGACAGTATTGGGAAGAACTTTTGGGGTTTCCTCGTCTTGCGGCTGAGTCTTTAGGACTAAGTGATGAAGTCAATAATTGGACTGAATTAAGCGCTAATTAAAAACTATTCCTACACCAATGATCACAGCAGAGTGTTTTAGAGTCTGACTCCCGTTCACTCTAATATAAATCAAACAAACAAAATAGCAAGACAACTAATGAATTACTTTGTCATCTGCTGGAACCACAGGGCGTTCTCAGGCTAATGAAACCTTGTACTCACCGTCAAAGGGCTTGGAATTCAGTCAGTGCTCGTTACAGATGGAAGACAGCTCGTGTTTGAACTAGGGGAATTGTTGAAAAGAAATGAAGATTTAAATATATTTGCGGACAGGCAGTTGTTGATTAGTAGAAACAGAGATTTAACTTACAACTGAAACAGGCTCCGGATAATATTCACCTCTAGGGAGCAGTGGTGAGCCCTCAACGACAGCTAGGGAAACTTCCTCTGAAATGTAATACAATACAATAAAATAAAATAAAAAACCCAACAACGTACTATATGACTTATGATTCATATGCAATGTAACAGTTGATGGGCAGGAAAGCTTGGCTTCTGCACAGTGATTGGACGCATTTTTAAAAGGATTGACAGCACTTTTACAACTGGACATTTTGCAAAATTTGTGTTTGACCTCTAGAGATAAACCCCAGTCTGATGCGTGGTGTTTGCATGGTGATATAGCCTGTTTATATTTGTATGTACTATATACCTTATACTGTATGATTATTGGGTTTGAGAGAAGCAGAAATTAGATGAAAAGACTAGTTCTAAATGGCTTTGTTTTGTTTTCTCTTCTTGAGATATATATTTACTTAGTTATTATAGATGATATATCGTATTATAATATATATAAAATGAAAATGAAGTTAAATGACAAAATATGATTTAAAACTTTGAACTCTTTTTTTTTAGTGTAAAAGCTGTGTACAGTGAGCTGAACAACACACTGCTGGCCATCGATGAGCAGGAGGACCTCCGCTGGTGGAAAAACACCCACGGTCCTGGAATGCCCACAGACTGGCCTCACTTTCAGGTTTGGTGTATATTGCTTTTGCATTCAATTTTTTTTTTTGTGCTAAATTTCATTGATAAATCATTTTTCAAATGTTTCAAATTTTCCCAAAACCTTTAGGAGTGGATACCTGAGAAGAAAGTCAAAAAAGGGAAAAAGGTTGTGGAAAAGAAACAAGAACTAATTGAGAAGAGGTGAGAAACTATGGCTGATTTATCCCTTATAGTCATTATTAGCAGTCTGTGGTTGTTACACTATTTAATTTTCCCCCCATTTTTCTGTAGTGTAATGATTGGTGGAGTGAGGGTCAGATCTCTGTACGACTACGTTGGCCAGGAAACTGATGAGCTGTCCTTTAAAGCAGGCAAAGCAGGTTTCTGTCAAAATTCTTTTTCTTGACTCTAAGGAAGTTGACTGATATCCCAGTCTATTTGTCACCGCAGGTGAGGAGTTTCTGAAGATCGAGGACGAAGATGATCAAGGCTGGTGTCGAGGGAAGAAGGACGATGGGTGGGAGGGGCTTTACCCTGCCAATTACGTAGAGGTGGTGTAGCGTGTCAGGTGTATGTGGGCTGCAGACGATTACAGCAGACGATGTAGCCCGGCTCCATGTCTGTGTCAACGAGTTACAGTCGGCAGTGAGCCGTTAGCCAAAGATGTTGTTTTGCTGTGAGGAGGCCGTCGCACTTATAGCTGGATATTTTAACATATAGAGATTTGATAACACTCGGCACACATTGTATAATCTTCTGAAGGATACGGACAAATGTTTTAATATATAGAGTGTGCATAGACCACTAGTATTGAAGCCATATGATAAGCAATGTTACAGTGTAAAAACAAAAGTGTACGTATGCAGAACTTTTAAGGTGCTGTTTGGAGCTGAAGTTGCAGTACAAGAGAAATACTTCCTACGGAGCTGGTTTTTACTCTACTTGCACCTCATCACGTTGCTGTTAAAATACTTAGAACATATGAAGAAATATATGCTAGCACTGTGAGTAGAAATATTCAATAGCAACTTGGTCCTGGAGATGGAAGAGTCCGGACGTCTCCTGACGATCTGCCTCCATCTCATCCATACTTCCACCTTCTCTACCATCTCCATGTTCTTCTGCACTACATCCATGACCCCTCGCTGGGGTCTTCTTTGTTTCCCCTTTTGCCTGGCAGCTCCATTTCCATCATCTCATCTCACGTATGTCCACTATCTCTTGTCTGCACATGTTCACTTATTTCTGTAGGTACCGTTGAGGTTGAAATGTAGAGGAACGTGGTTGTTTGCTGTTTTGCCCTCGGTGATATAAATCACAGATGAATATCACCGCGGTGTGCTAGTGGCATCCACACACATTCCAGGAAATCACATGGCATCATTCTTCGTTTCATAAAATCAATGAATAACAGTATTTAAAGCTGAAGCATCCCAGTGGAAGGCCCACAGAGTTGTTGTAAAATTCCAGGGATCTTTATTGTACATTTCAGCCTATTGTTTAGGGCTGTGTGACCTGCAGCTGTTGTTTTGGTCTGCTCCCACTGCTCTCAGGGCCTTGATGTCGTCTGGAGCAGGCGGCTGATTTAATTAAGACAGCTCTCAAAATGCCACTGCACACTAATTCTTAGCAACAAACAGAAGATGGGCACCGTTAGCGGGGAACAAAAGGGGAACATTTAGCAGCTAAAGAACCATATGTTTCCCTTGGGAGATAGCGGCGAGTTAAACAGTGCTAAGGAGGAAGAGAGCGAGTTAAAATCACTAGACTGATGTTTGTCAGACTAGAGGAAAGGGCTGCTCCGTCAGATTTGTACGGATTCTGTTCTCGCGGATCGACCCGGATGACAGAAGTGGGAACTTCGCTCAACATGAAATTCATATGCTTTAATTTAAGGTGTAACATGCGTCTCGTCAAATTACATATTTTGGTTATTGTTGCATTTTAAGTTGGAGTATCAACTTCCTGGTTTTGCATGAACATGAATCTTGCTACGTTTCTTATTGTAGAGGAACTGCTCTCAGTTCTAGGATTTTCAGGTCTTAACATGTTTGAAACACAACAAAAATGTTCAGAAATGAAGCCTTTTCATCTCCTGGTGACGCCAAACACTCACATTTCTCACCTGGTCAGATTGTTCCTTGTCAGAATTAACTGTCGGCTGTTTTTCTTTTCTCTCTAAATGTGCAGTAGTATAGCTTTTAAAAAGTGGCTTAAAAAAATAAGAAAGCGCCTGACTTGCTTCGTCTGTCGTCTGTTGTACCTGTGTGTGTAGCTCACATGTAATAACTTGCATATATGCTACAAAAACAATTTTTTGAATACCGTCTGCCATTTTAAAATAAAAAATAAAAGTCAACTGTTACAGCAGCAAATGTGTTGAAATGACGGAGGAAAGAATGACGATGGTCATGTGTGTCGGTTTAAAGACGACAAAGAGGGAACTGTTGAAACACCATGTCATTCTCTATCTTCACACGTACAGATCTGATGCAAAGTCTCTTCTAAGAACCACATCACATACCGGCCAGTGATGCAGTCACACAGCCATAAGTTGCCCTCAGCCATGTACAGCAGCCCGCTGTCGTGTGAAATTAGGATCACGAGCATGAATCTGAGGCTCGTCATGTTTACATTCTCCACTGGAATGTTACAGTCTACTCACAGGCCGAGGGGAGAATGGAGGAATTTCAGTTTCCACTGCAGTGGTGGAGATGATGATGTTCACTGGAAGGAATGTCCTCACCTGATGACAGAGTTTTGTCAGTGGTTCCAAAACCAGAAGGATTTGACCAGTGACAACCTAATAATGGTCACTGAAGTTCTCACATACGCTGTGCTGCTTCAAACTACATTTTATGATTACATTTAAATAAAAGAGGATACACGAAAACATTTACCTCAGACTACTGCAGTGGTTCTCAGTCATTTTTTTGTCATGCCCCCCCTTGGGCACAGAAATATTTTCACGCCCCCAACCCCCCCCCCCCACCCTGACCCACAATCCCGCAAATTGAAATACTATTGAGAACCTGATAATGTATATTTTCTATCTGTACAAACCACTGTATGAGTTGCTGCCACCTAGTGACTGGAGGCTTGTTATCATTCAAGAACTACAGCAGTGGTACACTTACATATGTCCAGCGTGTCATATTCCATTGAGAAGTACTGGACCACTGAAAGACATGGGCAGTTGTGGTCCTTTGATCGCAGCAGCCGTGGGTTCCATTTCACTTATTGCGCCAACTCTCATCACTCGGGTTGTGCAAGAACAGACGTTCAGTGCTGAGGGAAAGAAAAAAAAACCACAGTGAAATTAATTAATTAATTAATTAATCCTTTCTTGAGATGCACTTGAATAAATAAAAAATAATAAGACAGCTCAATGTTTGACAAACAACATTTGTCAAAGCTCTTGGATATGCCCAAAAGACATGCACTGAAATCTATGTATGTCTCTATAATGGAACACCTCCTGTAATTATAACATCTGTTTTAGAGCTTTTCAACCAATCTTGGGTAATCCAGCTGGAATCCACCCACCACTTTGGTTCGAGTCCCCCCCACCCCCCCACCCACCCCGCTGTGCTCACTGATCCACACCTGCTGCTGTGCACAGGCTAATATACGGAAATATTCAACCACCTCAGCACAAAAGATGAAGAAAGATTTCAGCAGGGTTTCCACCTGTGGACAAAGCTCTTATAAAACATAAGAAATACTGTAATGGCCGAGGTGACACCAAGGCCACAGACAGTGTTCCACTGACAATAGTGGGAAAAATCACTCTGTCAAGAGTCATCCTTCATCTTGTTTTTAACATCAGAGCAGTACACTTACGAGGAATGACAGACCGGGTTTCTCACAGTGAAGTGATCCGCCAGCTCTCTTAAAGTGTGGATTGTAGACTGTCTTGGCTTTGGTCCAGAGAAGCCTTCAAGGAAATGGATGAGAAATGACTCAGTGAATTTACTCTGCACTCATCTTCAAAAGTTTTTCTTTGCATTTGGAGGACAATCTCCTCACCATTAAAACAACAAACAAAAACAAAAAATAAAAAAAATATTTTTAATGGCCCACCAGGGATAATCAAACACACCTACTCAGACCACTTCAGATTTCTGTCCTCTCTTGAGATTTACAGCAGCCACGACATCACCTCATTGTCATACTGGTGATGCAGTAAATGGACCATTTGGGTACTGCATTGTTTTCACTGTTGTGACATTTGTTGTGGTTTTATGTCCTTAAGAACCTGTGGTCCAACACAGACTTTCTCTAGTTTTTTGGATGCATTAAAATCATAAAGGATGACACTGTGCATATGAATGTCCTTAAAATATCATTGCATGTGCAGAGCAACATGATTTTTTGTAAGACAAATGACTAACAGGCCGACTCATTTCTAACAGACATCCTGTACATTAAGAACTAGGACACCAGCTGTGGCCTTAGTCAGCACCTTTGAGGGTGGCTCTGCCCAGGGTGGCTCTGCCCAGTCTATATATACAGTCCATGGATATAATACATATAGTGCTGTCTCATAAGGAAGTGATACACACCGTTTCACACTGGGATTAATATTTATTAATCCCAGTGTTTATTTATTTATTTATATATTAATAATAATATCTGGCTTGTTTGCACGCTCCTGTTTTAAAGACAAACAGTGACGGTGAACACAGGCGTCATTTATGTACATATGTCTGTTAATAACACCATGATGAAGGGCCTGACCTTTCCACGTGTTGACCTCTTTGATCCCACTGAGGTCAACATCTGCACAGAGCAGCTCTAACTCTGCGTTAATCACCACATTAGGCGTGTTATCGCTCGTGATCTCACACATGTCCGTGTGTGTACTGACGTTGCACGTTCAGGTGTGGCAGTGCTGCTGACATCAAGTCTACATGCACCACATCCTGATACCAAGGATAGGAGGAGATGGTAATGTCCCCCCAGCAGAGGGCGCCGACACACCAGCAGGCGCAGCCCTTCGTAGGCCTGAGGAGGAGAAGTTCATGTGTGCACACTGGTTTGACAGAGTAAATGGAAATGTCTTTATTCCCTCATCTCTTATGTGGTGACAGGCAGAACTTTACGTTGCCATGGAGAGAGAGAGGGAGAGGGAGAGGGAGAGGGAGAGAGAGAGAGAGAGAGAGAGAGAGAGAGAGCTGCCAATCGGGGGGCCATAATTAACAGAGCCACAGAAACTCGGTTCAATGACTCATTACATTTGGAGAAGTTAATGAGGAAATCACACAGCTCCTCTAAGGCAAATGGCTGTGTTTGCCCATAATGTGTACGTATGATGGATGTTTGGAGAAACATCACGACGAGGCGAACACGACTGCACACTGCTGCAGCCACTTCTGCAGGGCTGATGATGAGCATGTGATCTGCTCCGATGCAGTCTGTGACAGTCTGTGTGTGAGTGTGTGTGTGTGTTTGAAAACATGAATATGTGTGTGCTTAAATGTCTCGGGGGAATGACTCACCTCCTTGTCAGAGAGACACAAAGCATATGAAGATTGTCTCGGGCTGTCACACTCACGTAAACACTCCCCGGCTCCTTGCACCAGATGTATAGTGTCATTTTTCACTTTCCAGCTTAAATCCCCTTTGACTTGTTCCTCAGAGACAAACGATGTCCGAGCGTGTTGTTGTTTTCCTCCTGCCTTCCATGCTTCTTGTCCTTTATTTGCCTTTATTGAACACAGTAGTGTCCACAGACAGGAAGACAAAACACACAGTAAAAGCTCGGGTCTGTTTGGGACTTTAGCTTGTAATTAACTGGTTAAGCCATTATCCCAATGTGGCGTGCGCAGTAACCACTCAGCCACAGACCACCCCCGTCTGTGGTACTTCAAACTGTAATCAAGCACACAAGTGCACAGCGTTTCATCGCATTCATTCAGTGCATAACAAATACCTTGATTAGAAATAAAATAATTGAGAGACACTGGGGTTTAAACAGATCAATAATCAAATTTAAGATTTTATATGCATTTTGTGTTTTTTGAAAAATAAAATAAAAACAAAGTCCATTATTTGGTAATACAATTTTCTTTTCCAGATGAAAGGACAAATAAAATTTCTTTCACTTTCACTGCTCTCACTCTCCTGTTTGCGACAGTGAGTCACATCCATTTTTCTTTATCTTTTATTTTGTGGCGACTACAGTAAAGGTACTAATTTTTGCTGCTCCATTTGAAATATTTGACCTCCCTGACCCTGAATTGTGTGAATGTCGTCGTTATGATGAGCCAGTCTTGTTCATTAGTACACAGACAGGCGCGCGCACACACACATTGTTTTGTCATACACATTATTTTTGTAATTTGTGCAGAACGAGGCCTCCTCATCTTAATGGAAAAAAAAAATCTATGTTGTCTTGATGTCCTTCTAATATAATTTATGCTTCTGCACAAATGGTATATGCAGATTTTTCATGCCATTTGCTGATGCCCTCTATACCACAACAGATGGTGGCGCTCCGACCTTCAATGTTTTATTTATTTATTTATTTATATCTGTTTACTTCTGTATCTGAGACACACTTCAACTCTTTGTTGCAAATTATTAAGAGGTACAGTAAATTAGCCTGGGAGAGGATGTAGATTACAGAGCATTGATGGGAGTTTTATGATCTACCAACAGGTGAGGGCGTGGGTACAACCTGGGCAGTAGATTGGTCCATCACAGGGCCACATGTCGAGGCAAACAACCATTCACACTCACTCACACCTAGAGTGAATCCCCAATCTACTGACTTTGGGAATGGTTGAAGACACAGACGGGACTCAAACTGGTGACCCTTTTACTGTAGGGCAAGAGTATTAACTACCTTTACACTGTTTGGCTCCAACCTAGGAAACAGACTTTGTTTTTCTTTAATAACAGACTCAATAGGCCCACAAAGTGATAAAGGCAGTGGTAACTTTGTTTCTGACACATCCAGCCCTTGGTCATGTCCTACCTCTACATCACTGTCACTGCTGTCTTCGGTCTCACCTGTCGTGTCCTCCCTCAGCTCCTCCACTTCTTCCCCTTTTGTGTCGATGCCTCTGTGATTACCCACACCTGCCCTCCTGTGTTTCCTCCCAGGTCATTAGGCGATCCTTCCCACCTGTGTCTTGTCAGTATGCCGATCAAATCGTGTGTGTGTGTGTGTGTGTGTGTGTGTGTATCTAAACAGTCTCCTCCCCTCCTCCTCCTGTGTCAGGTTGTCTTAGCTGCCTCATGACTAGTAAGATGCCGGTGTCTCACAGTTTGATCTTGTTTCTCAGCTTTCCCTGTTGGACATTCTTCCTGGAGTTTTGCGTTCTACTCTCCATGTACACTTTTGCCATCGTTGTTAATGTCATCAAATGTGTCTCTGCAAGTACAATCAAGTACTTGCAGAAAACTTACACAACTTCTGTATTTCTATGCAAATAAGGTGTGGGGAGAAGACAGTGGCATCACCATTTAAAAGTAAAGGCTCAGAAAAGCTTTTAAACAGAGGTGTGAAGATCTGATCAGCTGTGCTCAGTCCTTCAGTTTGTGTTTTCTTGCTACTATTTAATTTAGATATTAAGAAAGCAGCTCAATTTACATAAGTGTGTTATATACTGCCCCCCTTGCAGAAAAGACCTCAATGATTCCCTAAAAAAACTGAAATGGCCTCATCATTTCAGAATGAAAAACTTCCTGGTTTGTGCCAAAGATGGGAAACATTTGTTTCTCAAAAAATAGTGTTCAGTCCTTAATGTTGACCAAATATTTTTCGCAGGGTCAAAAGGCCTCTGTTGAAGGCAATTCATTTCCTTTACTTCTGTCAACTCATTTTAAAAGGTCAGCAGTGAGCCAGAGCTGAGGTCAACACTTTGGCCAAGAATAAGGACGAGCCATCCAGCCACCTGTAGACCTGCCAAGTGCACTTCAGCACAGACCGTCTCTCATCGTTTGTCTCAAGGACGACTGAAGGATCCCACTTGACACTTTTGCTTAAACAACACTAAGTGAGCGGATGAAGTAAGGGCTGTGAGTGGGTAAGGCCCCGACATGATGTCGGAGGAAAAGGGGAGTCGCAGGAGCAGGAGAGGGCGCTGTTACAGAGGTACTGCAGATGTTAGGCCACGGCAGCACAAGACCTGCACAAGGCAGGGTCCTGCAGGGGCCAGACTCATCTTGAATTAAGACAGAGAGGTCGTCCGAGGTGAGAGGGGAGTGTCTCTTTTGAAACCTCCATGTTTAAGCATGCTTTTCATCTTATAGTGGCCAAAAAATAATGAGCAATCAAGAAAATGGTTATTCTTGCATTTCAATTAGCCTAATTAAAGAAGGGGCAACGGTCTACTCAGAAGAATGGCAGGCACTCGTATAGAGTGTTTGTGCGTATGTGTGTGTGTAAGAGAGAGACAGAAAGAAAGTGAGGAGAGAGCAAAAGAGAGTGGTACGGAGACAGACTCTCAGAGGGGTTTCAGCCAGAATACTGCATCAGCAGTCAGAATAAAAAATTAACCATTTGCAGCCTTATCTGTAGCCTCATGTAGATACACAATCTGGCCGCTGAACTGGCTGCCAGAGATGATTCAGAACCACACAGCGACTACATCAATGTCTCATTAATCACTAATGTGTCCAAATTTCGTTGTGTAATGTCTCCCCTAGCCACATAACACGTTACACGCGGCCCAACGGTGTACTTCACCTTAACTGTTGACACCAGGACAGGTGCGGCACCTGTTGGTGTGCGTTGTGCCGACGCAGCCGACGCTGGCAGTGAGAGAGTTAACCTAAGTTCAGCATCCAATCTGACAGTGAGAGCCAGATGGTCATGTAGAGCACTTCTGTGACACGGGCCTACACAGTTCACCCTGCTGGAACACACACACACACACACACACATATTCTCTACCCCCTTGTACTAACCATAAGCATCTCCAATAAATTACTGACTTCAGTCCATGTAGCTGGGTTTTTACCAAGAATCATTTTCATCTTGTTCCCTGTTTCTGTTTCTGGTCAGCACAGCATTGTGATTTGATTTTACAGAATGAATCAACTTTTCAAACAACACTTAAGTGTTCAAATCATCTTTGAGTCGGAATTACTACAATTATCACAATACAGGTGTTTTCCAGTCACTCCTGTAAAACACGGACACTTCATGATGATTATCCTGCCAGAGTAGAACAGTAATAACACATCGTCACATCCCTATTATCTTCTTATGATAGATATTTACATTTGATACATGAACATTGCCCCATGCTTGAGTTACTCTAATGAAAATGCAAACCAAAAAATTTAAATTAATTTTGTTCATACCTGCATATCAGTTTCTGGTGACTTATCTGTGGTTATACACAGCTAGACTCAACTAGAATTTTCTTCATACCCTGAAGCTAAAAAAAATGGTCAGAATACCTATAAGTTTTGATAAACAGGCCTGATATTTTAATTAAAACACCAGCACAGAGCACACATGATGCAACAGTACACCAACCAAAACTGCTCATGTATGTAACCCATCAATCCTCTTGATGTTCCTTACATCTCTGAGCCATTTCTCCCCCCTCACCCACTTTCTTCTTTCCTCCTCTTTCATTTCCCTTGGTCTCAGTCTGATGGCCAGAGTTAATTGGCTGCTGTCTAATTGCAGCTCATTAGCTTGAGTAACCAAACATGTGAGACGTAACAAACAAAACAATCCTCTGGCTCTCAGAGGATTGCGCTGCGTCTCTGTAATTCCCATTTCAAGTCAGGCTGGTCCCGGCCCACGCTGCTGTGCTGCACGCAGCCTGTTGTCTCTTTGTCACTTCACTCACCCTGAATTGAAAAACATCTCAAACACCTGGATGAAAAAAATCTTCAAACAAAGCAAATACAAAATGATGAGATAATGCTACAAAACAGATGTACTACACTCTACACCTTGTGCCAAACCTGAGGTCCATGGGCTGAATGCGGCCCACCAAGTCATTTTGTGTGGCCCGTGGGAACTTAGAAACAATTTCATTGCCTTAATAAATAAAGTCTATGCTGCTTCAGAATGTATGTTGACCGTACATTACAACTAAAACAAAGCATTTTTTTATGATGATGAGAGATCTATGAGTGGAGATCTCAGTGGTGTGTTCAAAGACGGGCAGCATCACCTCATCAACTTCACCTAAAATTGGACTCGTATGCAGTAGTTCTGAACTGAGATATCTGTGTTTGAATGTAAGTAAAAGTACAATATTTGTAACTTGAAAAGATCCTAATTAATTGCAGAAACATGTATTAATACTTGGAGTAATGGAGTATTTACAGTTTTTTTCCAGTTATAACTGGTCCTTCGAGGCCAATTGTCTTGCTGATGTGGCCCCGGGTGAAAATTGATGATAAACTACCATAACTCCCAAACTAATGACATTCCTACCTGTGTTATTGTTTTGGCATAGTGTATTTTGCAACAGTTACGGATATATGGATAAATATTTTTCCAAGCAAAGACAAACAAAGCCTTGGGATTTTGATGACAGTAATCTTCTCCACGAGCCACGGTTTTCCACCTGCAGCCTCTTGTACTTTGGTGCTGTGTTTATTTTTGTTTTGCTAAAATGTGTTTGAAGATTTTCTGATTTTTATGTCCTTAATCATAATTCAAGGTCTTGTTCTGGCTGTGTAATTGATTTCACGCTGTACCTTTTTATCTTTATTTTCATCTGCACACACTCTCACTCGCCTGCCAGCACACACCCACATGCACAGAAAGACACACCACAAAGGCCAACCTCTCGCCCACACCCTGTTGGCATTTGGCAGGTTCTTTGGATTTGGGTAATGCCCCTCCCTCCCAGCAGCCCTGCCCTCGCCGCTCCCCCTCCTGTTTAATCTATCATAGAAAAACCTTGGGGGTTTAATTCCTCTCTCAAGGCAAAGTGCTTTGCTGGCACCACTGCCAAATCCATACACAAGGAATGCATCAAGCTTTAAAGTGGACATCTCAACAGCAGAGCAGTTTAGTCAGAGTGACATGAAATATATGGACCACAGTGTGTCACTATAGAACACACTGACACACACGCACAAGGATAAAACAACCAAACCAAAAACTTGTTCAATGTCTACCGCTCTCCTGTGGTTGTGGGCGACTACGTAGGGAATACAAAATACTTACACCGGTACTAAAATTCTCACACACACACACACACACACACACTGTCACCCACCCAACGTAGCAATATGCCAAGGAAATTATTTACTACTCAAAAGCAGGCCCCTAAATGATTAGATTAGTCTCCTGGCTCAGTGACTCCTGCAGAGCAACGAGACAGGACAGGATGAGAGGCTATTAATGTGGAGATGCAACACTAGAAAAACAAGCCAAAAGTAAAATAATATGAAGGAAAGAAGAGTGCTTTTCAAAAGAGACTGTAAATGCCGCCCTGAGTGAGTCAGGCATTTTTCTTCCGCTATGCTAAATGACATTTAGAGCCCTGAAATAATCATAGCTCAGACAAATCATTCAGTCAGACAGAAATATACGACGTCCAGTCAGAGGACAAGAAGACCTCTTCTTGCTCCAGCAGCTCCACAAAACTCAACATCCATCAAATTCAGAACTTTAAAATGGAGAGCAGTTCAAGAGCTGTAAAATAAAAAACAAAACAATGCAAGCAACAAAAACAACAACATCCAATACTATTAACACTGCTACAATCAACGTGAAACATTACATTTACATTTATGCATCAGACGCTTTTATCCAAGATGCCTTATAAGACGAGGAAGGGCCCTTACTAGGGTGAGAGTGTAGAAGTACAGACAAGTGCAGAAGGAGAAGAAAAGTACAGGAAAGTGCTACAACAGGAGGTGCTTTAGGCTATTATAGATTTATATATTATAGATATTTTAGGGGCTCTCTGAACAGAGCTATATTACCCACAACAAAAAGACAATTGCCTCAGCAGAGAAGGGCCACCTGTAAATTAGTAACAAAACCTAACAGCTAACGAGGCCTGTACCATATTTGTGCTAGCGACCCACTTCTGGGTCATAATCCATTTTTTTGAGAAATACTATGCCTTAGGACTTTGTAAGAAAGATAAGCAAAGTGAGTAATTCTTATGCTAAACCTTCAGAGCTACGTACCTGAATCTGCAGCTACCCTCAGCTTTAAGGACCTTTATAGTGCAGGTAGCCGCCTCATAAACT